GGGAAGGGGAACAGACAAGTTGCTGTCCTTTTGTTCTTCAGTCTAGTTGTGGAGGACGTTGCTTCACTGGCCCAAGTTGGTACCATCATTATGATCTTCCCAGGCGAGGCAGATCAATCACTGGCTTCTGGACGGGTGGCCGCTCACTGTGGCTGCTGGCTACTACACACGGTAGCCCATGGCAACCCACTGCAGCAGGGGCTACATAACAGCCCACGCTGTCACAGCAGCCCAGTTCCAGGTTGACCTGTTGTTCAGCATCTTACCTGCGGAGGGCAGTGTCACTGGCCCTCATATGTGGGGTCCGAACCGGGCCCTCTGGCGTCCCAACTGAAATAAGATTTATATGAAAGCCCTCATTGTTTACTTAGTAGCAGGGCACAAGATCATGTTAATTAGGAAATACTTATGACATTTTTTGTTCTAGAATACCCATTTTTCTACGTCTTTACTGTGTCTCAGCTACTCTCAGGATTACAGTGTAATTTCAAATAAAATACATGAAGTATTAGAAACTTCAGGGTCATATTTTATTTTGGATCTTTAGGGGACATCTTAATAAAGTATTAGATGCTCTAACACTTTTCCATTGGAATCCTTCTAAAGGTTCAAAGACTCTAAATGGAGGATCTGATGCTCAAGACAGTAATCAACCACAGCATAATGGAGACAGCAGTGAAGACAGCAAAGACGAGATCAGCAGTAAGAAAAAGTGAGGACATGTTTTAATGGGTCGTGATGTTTTTAATTGGTAAATCACATTGCTATTCCAAAGTTATTTGTATTAGAGATTGTATTTTGATATCAGTTCCTGAATTCAGGAAGCACAACTATATTGGACTTCTTTTACTGATTCATCCCTTAATAATGACATGTTCATACTTATTTGAATTGTGAGAATAAAAAATTAGATCTAGAATAACAGGCTATTTTGTATGATAATACCCATTCTAACTAGATATGGAACTGTAGTTATCCAGGTCTTGGTATTAGGACTTGGAATCAAGCATCCCTTCTAATAATGAAATTCAGAGAAATCTTATTGTCTGTATATATATATAGCCCCGCCCCCTTTTTCATTAAGGTTTGTAGAGTGAAAGCAGGAAATGATGGAAAGAGCTTGGGCCAGATTGCTTCTTCCCTGAGTTTTGTTTCATATGCATATTATGCACAACATAATAAAATAAAATTTTCAACCAAACATAATAAGCCAAAAGAATTTTTTGGTTTGTTTTTTTTTCTCCTGAGGAAAAATATCCCCTAATCCTAGTTGTCACATCTTTTTTCCCCACTTTCTTTAGGCCATCCAGTGAAGAGAGAGAGACTGAAATATCTCTGAAGGAGTCTACACTAGATAACTAGGTTGACATCCCTGGAATATAAAGAACATTTGAGAAGTTTGTAATGGTTTTCATTTAAATTTTTATAAACTATAAACTTGTTTTGAGGGAGAAAATTTTTATCTTTGTTTAAAATTAATTAAACATAGCTTAATTGTACTTGTGCAGTATTAACAGCTACATTATACAGTAAATGTGAGGGAAAAAACCCATTGAAGAAATGTTGAGCTGCTTTTCCAGACATTGGTTGTAGCATATTTTCAGTTAGTGTGTGTGTGTGTTAATGTGTAATTGATAGTAGGAAAAAGTTACATTTTTAAAACTGGTACTTGTATAAAACTTACCTGTTTTCCCAAATACTGTGGGTTTTGTGCATAGTTTTTACAAATCTTGGATTTACCAGACTGTCTTTTCACTGTTTGTGGGTTTTGTAGAAGGTATGCATTTTTATGGTAGATAAAATGTTACTTCTATCCCACTCCCTCCTTCTATCTAAAGTTAACCACATTATCTTGCTGCTTTGTACAACGTGTAGTCTGTATGCCTTTTTGTATGACAACTAGATGTCCAACTGACAATTCTGCAAGGTACAAAACTCATGTTAACTTTTGAAGGTAATTGAATTTTGTGGCTGGGAATTCAGTGAAGTCACATGACTTTCCTGCAGAGAACAGAATGGGTGTATATAGGAGTGATCTGTCTTTAGGGTTCAGCCATCTGAGATCCTTTACAGGCACTAGAAGCTGGAACTGAAAACTAAAACTAAATGAGAAAAGTTTATTTTTGAGACATTTCTGAATTTTTTAAGAAGTCACACTCATTAAGAAAGTCACTAAGTATTTTTTTAATTGGAAAACAATCTGTGATGCTTATGCAGTAAATAAAAGTAAATACTATATGAGGAAACTAACATTTGAAAACATGGCTATATCAGAAGGAAGTTTTTATTTCTGTATGATACATGTGACAAGATTGCAAAAGGTGGAAACAGTGCTCTGAGGCAGTAGACAAAGTAAAGGAGTACTTTTTGATGGTCTGTATAGTCATGTATATGGACTAAATTAGGGTGAATCAAGGTTAACAGAAAATTTTAAGAGCACCTTAACAGAATTTTTAAGATTTTTGATTAGGTCAGTTGGTTTTTAGTAGCTAAAAGTCACTTCTCGTCTTTTGAAACTATTAATATGGGAAAAAGGCTTTTAATATGTCAGTGTTTGCATGTGACATGCATTGTATGTTGTGACCTCAGATACTTAATTTTCATCTAGATGAAAACTTTGAATTATTTCAATAATTGGATTTGAATTATGGATTTGATTTATTTCAATAATTGGAGCTTTGCTTTTGTGAGGTCTTATCATGGAACCTAGGACCCACTGTTTTGAGAGAACTCTTACTACTATCATTAGAATTAAAATTTGGACAGATTTATTCTAGTTAAGCCATAAGTGTCAACATGTAAACTTTGTTTTGATTAAAGAATTTTTCTATCAAACTGCTGTTTACAAGTGTTTTGGAATTCTGGATTTGCTTCCAAAGGAGTTATTTCTTAACTTCGCCACAGAGGTCGTAGTTTGGGGAGACAGGGAAGCTAATAAGCTCAAAATGACAAAAATAAAGGACATTATTTTTTGTTCACTTGCCCTTTTTCCCCCGTGATCCAACAGATCCTTATAGTTTAGAGCAGCATGCTGATTATCTGTCTGCTTGTGTGGGCTGACCTTGCCCTAACCAGTTGATTTATGTGGTATTAAAACACAACTGCCTTCTGTATCTTAAGCCTCATTTCGAGAAATTTTTCTCTTTGTCAACGATTTATAGATAACTACCACTCTCAGAACTCAATCATTCAATTATCATGAATTTCCAGCACTGGCTCAATTTAAATTGTGTATTTGGTCTAAACTCCACAGCTGGGACAGCTAGTTAGCTCAGCTGCTTAAGAGCGCAGTGCTCAGAACACCAAGGTTGTTGGTTCGATCCCCACATGGGCCACTGTGATGTGCCCTCCACAGTTAGATAGAAACTACTTGACTTGGAGCTGATGGGTCCTAGAAAAACACACTGTTCCCCAATAAAAAACAAACAATGCTACAACTGAACCAAGTCACTAAGAAGAATTTAAATGAAATTACCTAACCCCCCCCCAAAGACCCCCAAGACCCCCAAATTTTTGGTATGTGTAAACAAATATAATGTTTAAAAAGAGTTAATTAAGCATGATGTAGCAAAATCAACTGTGGAAGGTTTTCTCAGCTGCTTTGAGACAGTTCGAAGTACCATCTGAATCAGGAAACCTGAACTGGACTTGATAATGGGTAAACAGCTTGCCTGGAGTACTTTAAAAGCCTGTAATTGCTATTATATCCTGTGGTTTCAAGTAGTAGGATGACACATTGATTGTAGTGTACCCATACAACTTACCTGGTTGAATGAGTCAGGTGAAGACGAGGTGGCCTATATAAGAGCAAGGCTTTTACAGGGCTCTGTGAGGCCTTCACTAACAACTTAGTCCCATTGGCCAGAGAAAGAATCGTCTATTGGAAATAGCAAACCCATAATCACACCTTAAGAAGCTGCCATATAGGCAGAAACGTGTTCATATTTGTGCTATGTAATTCTCCAACCTTGGAGATGATCAAGACATTGTGATGTGATTGGGCGAGAGGTCAAATTATCCTTAAAGGGTACTGAAGCCTGGAAAAGATGTTTAAGGAAATAGGTATTACTTTTATAGATAGTGATTTTGTGCATTTTCATGGTGATTAATAAGTTCATGATATTTTCATATCTGCTTTTCTTTAAATACATAATTTTAAGTCATGTTATAACACTGAATTTTGCAGCTATAAAAATCCCTTGATTCAAGCCATCTTTTATGCCTACTTGAAAGGAGTTTTCTTTCGGTGGGAGACCTGTATAATGGATACACAACATGTTTGCAAATTCTGGGTGTAACCTGGTTCGCCTTTCCACTCTAGATTCCACCAGGAAATAATAGATATCTGAGCCTTTGTGAAAAAGTTAACCTTAAAAACTAGGAGGATAATATTCTCAATAAAGGATAAAACAATTTCAGTTGCAGTATTCTTTATCCACTAAAATGAACCGAGTGGCACCACACATGGATTAATGCTTCCGTTATGATAATTCACTTCCTGGAATTTTCTGTTTTGAGAACATGAAATGATGAAAATGAATAAAAGTAAAAAGACCCTTGCATACTAACGTAAGACCTGTAAGAAATGCAGTTTAAAAATAAAAGTTCACTTTTACCTGTAGAACTTTGAAGAATTGGAAGAATCTATGGTTTTTCCAGTAGAATTTTAAATCAGTTCTATTTAGCATCATTGGAAACACGAAAGTAAAAATTTAGGCAATAAATAAAGCAGCCGTGCAGGGTCCTCTTAGCTCTTTACATTGATCCTCTGGTGTACTGACTGAATCCGTGAATAAGACCACCACCACACATAACAAAAACGTGCTTGTCATCTACACACCACTCAACTTATTGCATTTAGGTCCATAAAACATATCACTGTCAGCCTTTTAAATTCAAAGGCTTATATGGCTTGATTTATATAGTAGTGTTCTTAACCATCCAGGGAATGTGGAATTCAGTTGAATTTAAATATAACCTGGAAGAAAGTGAAATTTAAATGACATTTTAAAATGCAGCATTTCTAAAAGTCTTAAACAATTAAATTTTCCACCAAAAAGTTTCCAGAAAACATTTCAATATACCAGAGGTGCCAAAAAAATGTATACACATGACTTACTTTCATCTTTTGTTGATATATATACAGTATTACAATTTAAAATTTTTCCTTTCTTAAAATGTGTATAATTTTTTTGGCACCGTCTGTACATAAGCTACAATTTTCCCTGATGATCTAGACCTTGGAATTTTCATAGTGTGCTTTGGCCCAGAATGAGAGAAGAGAAATAGGATTATCATAGTAAGGGAGCCAAAAGAATGAAAAGCTCGGCCAGAAAAACTCGTTTTTCTTTTTGCGTACAGAATACTGGGTGTTATTGCTCAATAATAAGTGAGCAAGAGCTAGCAATCCATAGGATCTTGATTTCCCATGTCCCAGTGGTCATATTACATAAAATCTATTTAAATCATAAGAATATTGACATTTTCAACTCAGCATTTATGATTCCCAAAAAGTTGTCAAATGAAGCTTCAATATAATTGTTACTTCTGTGAAGATACATGTACTCAAAGTCGTCTTATTCATTAAGTCTCATTAAAATATTTAGTGTACCTCATTTTTACCAAAACAGCATTACAGAAGTACTTATTGTGAGGTTAAATTACACAATAACTTAATATTGTGTTAAATAATCTTTTATTCTTAACTTCTCCCTCATTTTTATTACAGATATTTGAAAGATCTTTACCTTGGAAGCCTCATGGTACAGGGTGTAGCTCTCACATTCTTCAGAGAATTTCCAAAACACTTCCACCACTTGATGTATCATTAATTAATTTTTGCTAATGATTGGCAAAAAGCTAATCTGGACACAATGATCAGGCAAGTCACAGGCTGGGGGAGAGAATCGGTACTTGTGTGCCTGACAAAGGATTTATATTCAGAATACATGAAAGCACTCCTATAACTCAGTAAGATAAACAGCATTTAAAAATGGGCAAAAAGCACTAAATAGAGACTAACCTTCAAAATAAATTCCAAAATAATATATTTCTAAGCATTTAAATACAATCAAATTATAAGAAAATCTGTGATCTGAACTTTTTTTGGGGGGGAATGGGGGTAACTTTAGATGATTGTTTCAGATTGATCCTGTTCCTCTGGCATTTCTTGGAAATAAAGTAACCATCCAAGAGGACATTTTAATTCACAAGGGTACACATTTTGTTGTTGATGATTAGTTAAAGGTTCCAGGATCAACATAAGGATAAGCGAGGAATTCCCCCAGTTTGTTGCCTTCTGAATCATAGTGGAGCATTCGGAAGCAAACGTCACAAAAGAAACATGGGTCTTCTGGTGCAAAACTGTCATTGTTCGTCACCCATCTGCAGTTAAAAAAAATTCATCATTACAATTAATTTTCTTATGCTTTAACATGCGATTAAGTTATAAACATTTCCAGTACTGCCTTCTCATTCTATCTTATTTATACATTATAATCCTTCATGTGATTTTGTATACACAGAGACAGACATACCACTGTCAATACGAAGCAAAAGGGCCACTAACAAACTGCAGAATGTTGTTTCTCTGAAAGACTTCCTGAAAGGTAAGTGAATATAAATCCATACTTGAAAGCATCACACACGTGCCATGACATACCTACCCTCCAAGTAACTCAATAGGAACATAATCATTTTCTTCTAATGGGCCATCTTTGAAAAACCATAATAAATTATATGCTCTTATAGACCTGATAAAACTTTTGGTTAATTTGTCTTTCTAATTGGTAATGTGTACTGATTAATTTGAAATCATCAGCTGTTTTACTTAGAAGTCAGGATAAAAATGTTACAGAGTATATACAAAATGGGAAATAGGGGCAACATTATTCAACTGAGATTTGGTTTTTTGACCTGAGATGTTACTGGTCACAGATGAAAATGCTAGTTTTCAGTTTATCTCAATTCTGCATCTCATGGCATGTTTTAACATTCCCTGATTTCCATTTTGATCTGATAACTCGGTTTATGTTTTCCTGTTGTTCATTTAGAAAAGCCTATTGTGGGGAACCCAAAACAAATTGATGAGACTAAATTCTTCCCTTTTTCTCTGAATAGTTTTTTTGAACTGATCCACACTTAATCTAAACATGCATAATCACATAAAGCAAAAATTTTATGAAACTACACATATTTTGACCTCATATAGGAGATGCTGTGTTATTTTTTCCACTGAGGAGAAGCTGGAAATGAAGTTGATTTTGTAAGTTGCAGACAAAAGGCAAAAATAACATGGCTCCCTGATGACATCGAGCATTGTATCAACCAAAGTCTGACCTACCCTTGGACTTTCCAGCATATGCAATGATTTATTTCCTTATTGCTTAAAAATGCAATTGTGCACTTCCCTACTAGATACAACTCTTCAAAAAAGAACTGAAATACCAAAAATTAAAGTGCCTGACTTGAAAAAATCAATACTTCTCAAAGAAAAAAATACAGATTTCACTTACCTGGCTGTGTACATTTTACAAACAAAACATTTTCTGGTCCATAGCCAGTGCTTCTTGATAAGAAGGGGATAAAGTGTCCTATCCAAGCAGTCATCCCGGTGCACAAGCCTTTTGTACATGAGAAAATGAAAACATTAAAAAGTGCAAATTTTTGTGATAGGTAAAGAATCAAATGTATCTGTACGAGACATGACCAACATAGTAGGTATATTTTTAAATTTTTTGCTTACAAAAGATTTAGGTATAAACTGACTTGTTAAGCAGGTTTGACCAAATTGTGTTCCACAGAACACTCCAAAAGAGCATTTTGGATCAAACAATGTTTTCATACTTTCCAAATCTGTTCATGGTAATGTGCACTGTAAGAAGGAAATATTGTATGCAACATGCCTTGAATGTATTCCCTCAGAGAATCCTTGCTTTACTCAACATGTAGTACCTTTTCATGGAACATAGTTGAGCAACTAATTTAAGTATTTTGTCTGGCTATCCTACCTAGATTAACTGGTAGATTAATATGGCTCTTGTTTACTGTCCCCTGTATTAAAATCCAGATTTGGCTCCTGGTATAATGTGAGTTGGTAGGACTTTAGTTTTATGTTGTCAGAATTAAGAAATTGTAAGAGAAGTCAGTCTCCACTATGCCATCATCAGCTGAGTGAGTCTGAAAAATGAAAGGACTGCGTAAGAGTACTCTAAAGATCCCTGGTCCCTGACAATGCTAAAATTTGATTATTTATTTTTAGTAAGAAAGGGTAACAATGTATCAACTTCATTATAAAACGATTAATAAACTTTTAACAGTTTATCAACTATTAAACTGTGGAATGGCATGGAATGATAAAATCTACCTGTGAGATAAAAATGACGTGTAGTCTAAGTTACATTCCAAGTTGCCTTGAGTTTAAGGAATGACACTGTGTGCAGCAATATACCCACAATGTAAGATACGTAAAGACAGTAAGATCACCAGAGGAAAGTTATTATCTTCCATCTTATGCTTATTCTGAGGCACATTCCCCCTCATTTGAGAGGAAGGGCAAGCAGAATAGCTTATTGTATAAAATGTAAAGAACACATAACCAAAGAAATAAACAATTTTGCAAGTCATCAATCAGGTTTATGAGGTATCCCAGCTCTTGCTTCAGAAATTCTTCCCTAGGGGCAACTGTTCCACGTTCTCAACTGTTTCTTTTGTAATTTAGCTCCTCAGCCTCCCTCTACAGAACTACTGTAACTTTGGTTACACAGATATTTAATGTTTAAATGATGATTTTAACACCACCACCACCTAAGCTACACATAATTGACTAGAGGTTTCTTTTACTGTGTAACACTAAAAGACTTCACATTTGTCAAATATCAGAATTACTCTTCTCTTCCCCCAGTTCCCCTTTATCTCCTTCAAATTTTGGCAAAAAGACAAGAAATCTGGAAATACAGCTGCAAATTTGCACAGGGCCTATATGATATACAAAGTGAATAACTACTACCAGAATTATTATAAAATACAAATGGAGATACTTACTCTTAAGTGTTTACAGATTTTTAACCCTCTAATAAACAGTTAAGTATGTGTTGTTATAGATGTTCTAAAACATGAACAACAGAGGATGCAAAGTTGGTCATTGCATGGAAAGCAAACACTTCTGCTGTTCCAAAGCCAAGCTGCAGTGGTAATTATTTTTATTCCTCTTTAAAAAAACAAAAAACAAAAAAACTGTGCTATGAAATAAAGGAAAGGAAAACAGAACAAATAAAATATTCTGACGGACGCCACTCACCGTATGTCAGTAATGACAACAACATGTTCGCAGTCGCCCTGGTGACAGTATAGGTAGGGAAAACCCAGTTTAATGTTTAAGTCGTTGAAGGTGAGGTCTTCCATGTTAGCAGTCTGAAACTTCCCATAGCCTCTATCGTGGGACTCTGACCAGTCAATAATAGTTCTGAGGGGGGAAAAGTTAAGAATGTATCATTGCTCCACAAAAAACTCAAAATTATGGAAAACAGTTTCTGACTGCAGTATTTCACAAAACCCAAAATTATGGAAAACAGTTTCTGACTGCAGTATTTCACAAAACCCAAAATTAAGGAAAACAGTTTCTGACTGCAGTATTTCACAAAACCTGGCTCACCCAATTAACTGGACAGTTGCCATCTTGATAAAAATCATAGCGGTTCATACCTGTTGGAATTAGGAATTCTAAATTTTTGTTCCTCCACTGGAGCAGCAGTTCTCAAAGTGAGGTTCTTTGAGATCCCACAGGGGTTTGAGGTCAAAATTATCTTTAAAATAATCCTACAATGTCATTTGCCCTTTCAACTCTTACTCATAAATGGCCAGTTTTCAGGAGGCTACGTGGTATGTTTTCTTTTGGAAAACAGTTTTTTTTTTCCCACAAAAATGTTATTAAACATGTAATGGGATTATTTAAATTGGTTAATATTTAAAATATTTCATAGTTTCACTGGCTAATATAATATTGATAGCTATAACCCACATAAACAAACTCTTTGGAGTCCTCAATTATTTACAGTATAAAGGAGTGCTGAGACCAACAAGTTTGAAAACTACTACATTAGAATATAGATACAAATGGCTATAAAAGAGAATTTATATAAACATTGAAAAAAAATACTCTAGTTGCTAGGACACTGATAATAAAAGTACAGATTAATTAACATGATCTTATATACAAACTTTTCATGTAATATACTTAAGCAACCATACATACCACGTAAGGCAAACAATAGTATACACTGGATAAGCAGAAAAATAGTGAAAGAGGGCCGGCGAGTGGTGCAATGGTTAAGAACTGGCTTGGGATGCCAGAGGGCCCCGGTTCGGATCCCACATGAGGGCCAGTGACACTGCCCTCTACAGCTAAGATGCTGAACAACAGCTCAACCTGGATCTGGGCTGCCATGTTGCCCATGGTGACGGCGTAGGCTGCAACCCCTGCTGCAGTGGGTTGCCATGGGCTACTGTGTATAGCCAGCAGCCAGCGTTAGCGGCCAGCAGCCGCAGTGACGGGGAAGAGCGCAATGATGGTACCAACTCGGGCCAGTGAAGCAACGTCCTCCACAACTAGACTGAAGAACAAAAGGACAGCAACTTGTCCGTTCCCCTTTCCCCAATTCCCCAGCACTGTTCTCATCCCCCCAATTTCCCAATAAAAAAAAACTTTAAAAACGGAGAGATAATTTTTGACCCCAAAATAAACACTTCCTAGGCAAAGAGCCTTAACTGATCAACAGTAGGATTTGTGGAGATAATGCCATTTTGAGAACGAAAGACTTGAGATTTTTGGAAACTATACCTGCTCAAATCTCTGCATTCAGGGTATCTTTTATCATTGTAAAATGTTCCTTCAAAATAAAAGAAGGCTGATTTGTATAGGTCCTGCAAGAAAACAGATGGTATTGAAGGCCCACTATTAACAATTAAGAAATTGCTCTAAGTATTAATTAAAAATTTGTATATCATATAATCACACTAATCTATTTAACTTCACAGAATATGCTCAGCTCATTAATTTGTTTAATATTTAATGGGAACCTCCTATGTGACAAGTATTATGTTACTTTGTTTATAAAATGTAAATAGTAACAGTAGACTCTTAGATTAATAACAGAAGTTAACTTCATACTGAGGCTAAGTGGAAATGTCTAGTAGGCACTCAAAATAATGGTTTGGAAATCAGGAGAGAATGTGGCTACAGAGAGATTAACAAAGATTGGAGTATACTTAACACCATGAAAACTGGGGGAAAGATCAGGAAAAGAATTTAAAATAACTAAGATGAAACTAAGTTATAACATTTATGTGGCTGGTGGCACAGGAACCAGCAAAAATGGAGATTATGATGGCTCTTGTCCAATCTCTATCTCCATTCTAGTTGATCCAAATATCTTTTTACTGATCTACAGGAGATATTGCCTCTCTTAAGAGGGCCAGTAAATCTGAGTTCCTCTGCTGAATTGAACCAGGTAACAGAGTTAGTTGAAGCTTGCCCTAGGATTAAATTCAGGATCAAGGCCGCCTACTTTTCTGGGCAAGCTACCCCTTCTGAAAACTTCGTGAGCAGCCAGTCTACCATTGTGCTCCTTTCTATCCTTATTCAGTGGGTAAGTAGGGGATTCTCTGTCCTTCTGAGAGCACCACCCTGGGAAATAGCAGCAACAACCAACATCAGTCACCATCCCTGATTGGTGCTGGTCACTGGACTGACAGGTCCTCCTACCAGCAGAGAGACTCCTGAGTAGACTGCAACCCTTTGCTGGGGGCAGTTAGGATGAACTGACTCATACAGAGTTAGAGGAGAGAATGAACAGTCAAGTCAAATTCTACAGTAAAATCACATTGTATGAACATAAAGAAGAGATCAACTGGTTAAACAATTAGGTGGGCACTATGACCTGAGAAGGAAGAGTGTACACAGAATGGCTGAGAAATGACTGTGAGATGAGGAAATCAAAAGCCTAATCTTTGAAAAAGGTCTTGATGATAAAGAACAGGGAAGAGACAGGCTTGGGGAAATGACTTAGAAGAAAGCATTTACTGGAATATTTATAATCCTGTTAGAGTAATCATTACTTCCCTAGCTTATTATTATTATTTCCTCTGGCCTTATGGGGGTGAAAAAATAAATCACCTTACTTTGCTGATGTGCTCAGGGGCTTGGTCAGGAGTGTTGCTGAATTCCCCACCAATCTGGAGGTCACTGACACAGCAAATCGAATCCCTCAGTTCGGTGAGCTTTTGACTGCCCAGCACTAGCATCGTCTGGTATGGTTTGTGTTCTTTGTGCTAAAAGTCAAACAGTAAATAAATAAATAAATAAATAAGTAAATAAATAAGTGTCCACTCAGGGACAAGCAATTAAACTATAAATCCTCTCATGACCAGATCTAAATTAAGTTACTGGTTGTCTTAATTTATCCTCATAACTTGGTGGTGTTTTCTTAAATTCTGTATTTGTCCAATTGGCATCCATTAATTACAGGTCCAAACTAATGGCCAAAGTTGTTTATAGCTGCCTGTGACCCAGAGCCCATATTCTGAAACTGCCTCCTTTATCTAACCCTCACACACCAAGCCAACATTTCTGCTATCCTAAATCAAGAGCCAGGTACCAGACAACTAGGGACAATCCCCACGCCCCAGAACCCACTAGAATTATTCAAACTAGCCAACTCTAAACTGTTCAGCCTGCCCTGCCTCGCCTTTCCTGCGGAAACCCAACAAAGGCTGTGGCGTATGCCTCCCCTCCCTCCTTTCTGCCTCCTGATGGACAGGGGTGCATCCCCCTGTGGCCCGGCATAGCATGGTGTACCCCACTCCTCTCAGGAAATGTAAGTAATAAAAATCATCTTTCAAGGCATTGGCTTCTAGTGTTGTCACTCAGTCACCTCCATAAATTAAAAACCTTGGGTACAACTGAGACACTTGGTGCTATGGTCGGAATGAATGTTTGTGTCCACCCAAAATTCACAGGTTGGAATCCTAACACCCAAAGAGATGGTGTTAGGAGTGGAGGCCTTTGGGAGGTGATGAGGTCCTGAGGGGGGAGCCCTCATGAATGGGGTCAGGGCTCTTAAAAAGAGAGGCCCCACAGAGGTCCCCATGCCCTTCTGCATGTGAGAAGACTGCAGCCCAGAAGGGCCCCCACTTGACCATGCAGGCACCCTGATCCTGGACTTCCAGCCTCCAGAACTGTGAAAAAAAAATTTTTTTTCTGTTGTTTATAAGCCAGGCAGTCTGTGATACTTTGTTACAGTAGCTGGAATGGACTAACACTTGGCAATAGAACTTTTTTAGTTTAAGCTAAAGTTTATAATCAAGATGCTTCTAAAATGACATTAGTGTGAAGAGCCTTTGGAATCTAACTCCATCTAGTAACACTGTCTTTTAGAATTTCCTGGAACTTATCTCACTGATGTCAAGCAATCTATTCACTACCCTAATGTTATAAACCCAGAGGTTCAGTTTCACTGAGTTTGTTTTGCTTGACTGGTAATTTGAAATCTTCACCAATCGATGTAATTAGTACTGACTACATTCCAGATGCTTCATAAAAGCCTATTTATTCACAAGTCCAATTTATGTATAGTAATATTTCAATTAAATCTTATCAAAGTTTATGACATATTTAGGAAATCAAGACTACATATACTGTGGATTAGGGTAGTTCTTTTTGTTAGACTCCTAAAGAATTCCTAGATACCACCAACCTGTTAACTATCTGCATTTTCATCAAAGAGCTGTCTTTAGTTAGTTGCATAACTTTCCAAGTATTCTAAACTGGTGAACTGGTGAACAATGGTCCTTCACCACCCACCTATTCTGGGTAAAAAACAAAAAAACCTTCAAGAAATCATATAATTAGCATCACTGTGGATTTCTCTATACTTCCAAGTTGCTTCCAGTGCAGAAACCAGGGCATTCATTCCAATACTTTAACTGTAATCCTAGTAATCAAGGAATTACTGTATTTTGTCGTGTATAATGCGCTTCCATATATAATGCCCACCCACGTTTCTGGCCTCCAGCTTTCAGGAATAAAAATGTTACGTTTTAATTTTTTAATTCAAATTTTTATTTGTTTTAATTTCGGTACTTGTTTTTTATATTATAAAGGAATTTTAGCATTTATTTTTTTAACATATTATGGTGCAAGAAATTTTATGTACCGGTGACAAATGTACAATATTTACACATCACAGAAGGCCAAGAACTCTTCCTCATTGCAAGTTCGTCGTAAGTTCAACAAAACTGATTATTGTATTCCAGGGTATTATTTTGCATACAGATGTTCTTTATTGATTTCTAGAGTTATACTTTTAACTCATAAGCATAAATAAAAGAATTAAAAACATTTATATAGATATGGAATTAGTACTACCCATGTATAATGTACACCCTTATTTTTTCCTCACAAATTTGGGCAAAAAAGTATGCATTATACACAGGCAAAGTATTTGAAATTTGACCTTATTTACAATATTCCTTATTAAAATAAAGAATCCAAGAATATAGACAGGATACCAGATAAAATAGCATATGCTTGCATTTATTTTGAACCCTAGGGAAATAATTAAACCTTTTGACAAAAGTCACTCAGATTATCTGTGAAACCCAAAAGGTTTTACTACTGACCTTATGAAATATAACAGGGTACAAGATATTCACAGATAGGATAAGCTCCCCTTCTTCAATCATGTCTGCTGGATTTTCAGGCTTTTTCCCTATGGCATGTGACTCCTGAAGGAGGAAAGCAAATTAATCAGAGACCTTAAAATCAGACACTGTGAATCATGTAAGAGGCAGTGTGGAACAACACCCGTAAGCAGTAACTTGAGTCCCTCCACCAGAGCAACCAGTCAGAGGGGAAAGAGATTGAAATCAACTATTTTGGAACTCTGGAACTTCTATCAACCAGGGGAGTGCTTGATGAAGGGACAAGCTGCTGATCTTTCATAAGTAGGCAGGGGGTGCAAACCAACTACCATTCCCCCCATTCTTCAGCCCTGCCCGCAGATGTGGAGAAAGCAGTCCGTGTTCCCGAAATGATGGCTGATGCCAGGATAGGCAGCGGGGACCTTGTTCTCCAAAAATTAGGGGTGTGTTTTGGTTGGTCTGGCAATGTCCTTAGCGCCTGGTGCAGACACTTGCCTTGGTTTTGGCCCTCTTACCAGGAGTGGTTTCCCCCAGCAGCAGCCCAAATAGACAGGACCCATTTTTCTCATTTGTGGCAGCAGACATTTAAGGAAATCTTGGTCAGGTCACTGCATGACCAGAGATAATGAAACAGAAACATCAGTGACCACACACGACAAGGAATACACACACAGGAAAGATACTTTGAAAAAGTAAAAAATAGCTCCAGCCCTCATTGAGTAAAAATCAAACTCAGAATGTCCAGTTCACACCTAAAACATAAAATGCACAAAGGAACAGGAAAATATAGCTCATTCACAAGAAAAAAAAAAAAGAATTTGACAGAAATGATTGAGGAAGCCCAGGTGTTGAAATGACTAGTCAAAGATGTTAAATCAATGGTCTTAAATGTATTCAATGACCTAAGGAAAACTACAGACAGAGAACTAAAGGATATCAGGTTCCTCAATAAGATTTATTTTTTATTTTTTAAAGATTTTATTGGGGAATTGGGGGAGGGAAACAGACAAGTTGCTGTCCTTTTGTTCTTCAGTCTAGTTGTGGAGGATGTTGCTTCACTGGCCCAATGTTGATTATTATCATTGTGCTGTTCCCGGGTGAGGCAGATCGGTCGCCGGTTTCTGGACGGCTGCTGGCTGCTCACGCTGGCTGCTGGCTACACACGGTAGCCCATGGCAACCCACTGCAGCAGGGGCTTCAGCCTACACCGTCGCTGGCGACTCACAGCATCCCAGCTCCAGGTCGAGCTGTTGTTCAGCATCTTAGCTGTAGAGGGCAGTGTCACTAGCCCTCATATGTGGGATCCGAACCGGAGCCCTCTGGCATCCCAAGCCAGCTCTTAACCAACGCACCACTCGGCCGGCACAGGAATACTTTCTAACTAATTCTATGAGATCAGCATACTTTGATACCAAAGCCAAACAAAGACACTACAAGAAAACTACAGGCCTATATCCCTTATAAATATAAATGCCAAACTCCTCAAAAAAATACTAGCAAACTGAATTCAACAGTACATTAAAAGGATTATATATTACAACCAAGTGAGGCTTATTCTCAGGATGCAAAGATAAGTTCAAAACATGCAAATCAATCAATGTAATATACCACACTAATAGAATGACGGGAAACAAAACCACATCATCATCATCTCAACTGATAAAGAGAAAGCATTCGACAAAATCCAATACTTTTTGATGATAAAAACACTAATAAACTGGGAATAGAAGGGGAAGTCCTCAACATGATACAGGCAATACATGAAAATTGTACTCAATGATGAAAGACTGATGAGGATGGGCATTTTTGCTGTTTCTGTTCAACACAGTAGTACTATAATTTCTATGCAGAGCAATTAGGGAAAAAAAAAAAGAGGGAAAGAAGCCAGAGCTAGTGAGCAACCAAATTAGAACAGAAAAGATAAAGTTATCTCTGTGCAAGATCTTCTACGTACAAAATCCTAAAGAATCCACATACAAAAAACCCTGTTAGAGCTAATAAACAAATTTAGCAAAGTTGCAGGATGTAAAACCAACACACAGGCCAGCCGAGTGGTGCATTGGTTAGAAGTTGGCTTGAGACGCCAACTCTGAGCAGCAAGGCCCTGGTTCAGATCCCACATGAGGGCCAGTGACGCTGCACCCTCTCCAGCTAAGATGGTGAACAACAGCTCGACCTGGAGCTGGGCTGCCATGAGTTGCCAGCGACGGCATAGGCTGCAGCCCCTGTTGCAGTGGGCTGCCGTGAGCTACCATGAGTGGCTGGCAGCCAGTGTGAGCTGCCATAAGCTGCCGTGAGTGGCCATCCAATGGCTGGCGAGTGACTGCCTCACCCGGGAAGAGCGCAATGATAATACCAATATGGGCCAGTGAAGCGATGTCCTCCACAATTAGACTGAAGAACAAAAGGACAGCAACTTGTCTGTTCCCCTTCCCTGATTCCCCAACTCTGTTCCCCTCTCCCAATTCCCCAATAAAAATCTTAAAACAAACAAAAAACCCAACACGCAAAAATCAGTTGTATTTCTACATAGTAGTCATGAACCATCTTCTAAAAGGATATTAAGAAACAATTCTATTTAAAATAGAATCTAAACCCATCCATATACGGTCATTTAATCTTTGACAATGGAAGCAAGAATTTACACTGGAGTAAAGATAGTCTATTTAATAAATGGTGCTGGGAAAATTGGACTGACACATGCAAAAAAATGAAAATGGACCACCTACTTACACCATATACGAGAACAAATTCAAAATGGAATAAACACTTAAATGTAAGACCTGAAACCACAAAACTCTTAGAAGAAAAAATAGGGAGTAAATTCGCAGACATTACCCTCAGTAATATTTTTACTGAGATATCCCCTCGGGCAAGGGAAATAAAAGAAAAAAATAAACATACGGGATTACATCAAACTGAAAAGTTTTTTCACAGCAAAGGAAATCATCAAGAAAACAAAAAGGCAGCCTACTGAATGGGAGAAGATATTTGCCAATGATATATCTGAT